GATGACCTCCAAGAGCTGATCCTGCTCCTGATTGGAGGAGAGCAGCGTACTCGGCATGTGGGCAGCCGAGTTGGGATTGGCGGAAGAGGACTATAAAGGAGGAGAGAGACAATACGCACCAGGAACATCTAAGGGGAACATCTATCTGAAAGAACACCTGTGCAGCCCCCGAGAGAGCCGGCCGGCGGTGTGCCGCTCCCCCGCGGAAGTGGGGAATGTGGCAGGGGGAACCACCCTTCCACGGAGGTGGAAGGGTCGGTAGCCAACCCGGGAAGAACCAGCAGCAAACCCGGGAAGGGCCGAGCAGACAAAAGAACAATGCAGAGTCCTGTGTCGTTCCTCCACGAAGACGGGGAGCGACAGAAAGTGAGGAGTAACTTAGGGTATGGACATTCTTTTGGGGGTAATGTAAATGTTCTGGAATTAGATGGTCATCATGATGGCCATGTGACTCTTTGAATATACTAAAAAGACTGAATTGAGCACTGTGAAATGGTGAATTTGTGTTAAGTGAATTCTCAGTAAAGTTGCTATGAACACGCAGCCCTGTGTTTGATCCTTAAAAAACAAAAATCTTGTTTTATTTAGAGAAAGGACTGACTCACTATGGCACAAAGATATGATGAAAATTTTGCTCTCATGGCACTCTTAAATTTTGTTCTGTACGATGAAAATAAAATGATTAATTTAAGAAACTATTTTCAAGACTATTCTGTTTCTTTTATGGAGTTTTTAACTCATGCAACACTGAAGGAGACATACACTTGAATAAAATTCTGTGGTCAGTATATTTGTCGGAGCTCGTTCTTACTGGAGTTTGTTGCTACAAATTCAGGAAATTGGCTACCATCTCCCTTTTATGTCCAAAGATTGAGAGCCTATCTTGTTAGCAAAACCTAAAGCACATCTGCAATTCTAGTTATAAAGGAGTCTATAAAACGTAGTTTTTATCCTAGTAGGACACATAATACAGAGGAATAAGCAGATGGGAATACACATTGAGTGCCAGTTGGCAATGTCTAGCATAATTTTTGTTTTGCCTGCCCAACATTGTCTACACATAAACCACCCCACAACAGCAGTAGCAAGAAAACCATACTATCATCAATGAGAATGTCACTATTCCTAAAATAAATGAAAACATTACCTCTTTTCAGGGTTAGAATTTGCCCTTGCCCCTTGAGGCATATTGAGATCTGACTCTAGTTATAGGATGTAGCAAAGGGATGCAAAGGAAATGATCATGAGAAGATTCAGTATCTTTTTTGTGAAGTTACCAGTGGTGAGGCTATTCATGACAGTGTCTTCAACAGACAGATAGCATTGACAAGAAACATGAGCCCAATTCTACTGACAAGAGAATGCTGTAGTGATCACAGTACCATTCTTTCCCAATAAAAATCCTAAATTCTTACCAACTTGCATAAAATCTGCAGCTTGTGGCTTTAGACTCATTGATTGCTTGCTGTATCAGTCCTATGACTGTGTAAGATGAGATTCTTTTAGAGCAGTGGTTTTCAAAGCAGCGTGGGTGGTTTGATGGGCGGTTGCTATTGGTGGTAGAGATTTTGCCCCCACAAAGAACATTGGTGGTGTCTGAATACATTATTAGTTGTCTCAACTTGAGTTATGAGAAACTGTTATTGGCATCTTGTAAGTAGAGGCCAGAACTGCTCATACATCCTATAATGCCCAGAACAACCTTCTACAGCAAAGAGTTATCTGGCCCAAACTATCAGTTATGCCAAAGTTGAGAAATTCTGTTTTACAGCAATCATAGAAACTCTTGGTTTTTTTTTTAACAAATTTTAAGCCAAGAATTAAAAACCCTAAGTTTGTCATCACTGTCCTTTAATGTCTCAAAGAATTCCAGAGCTTCCATCCCAGCTCATCCAACCCAGCCCAATGCAGTCCATTTATTTATTATTTCCATATTAATGTGCTACTTGGATAAACATTTGCTACCAAGGCCTGTGTTCAACAGGACTTTATTCCAAGTTTCACATGTGATGATTTAAGTAACTGTTTACCACTTCATACTTTGAACTACCAATATTTTATTTTCCACTAGTAGTGAATGAAGTCATCACTACTTTTAGATTCAAACCTGATCGTATAATAAATTTCAAATTCTGTTACAGTTTTGTTTCTTTATATTTTGGACATCTTTATATACCAATCAGAATTTCAGTCTAGTCATAGCCTCTGAGCCCTGGGTGTTTGTATATTCTCTCTCTCTCTTTTTTTTTTTTTTTTTTAATAATTTATTTATTTATTTGACGGAGAGATGGAGATCTTCCATCTGCTGGTTCATTCCCAAAATGGCCTAACAAACAGGTCTGGTCTCCCACTTGGCGGCAGGGGCCCAAGTAATTGGGCTGTCTTCTGCTGCTTTCCCAGGCATATTATCAGGAATGCTGGATTGGCAGCTGTGTAGTGGGTACTCAAATCAGCATTTTGATGTGGGATGCCAGCCTTGTAAACTAGTGATTTAACTTGCTGTGCTACAATGCCAGCACAAATATGTCATTTCTTTAATCTGAACAGCTCTGCTCCTTTCCCCCTATTCCTGGGACCATTTAGAAACTTTATTTCTGGATCTAAATACAACTTTTCCCAGAATGCTTTCCCTGAGTGCCTGCTCTCCTACAAGTGTAGGGAACATGGTTGAAATCATTTGGTCTGGTCCTGCCAAGGCAACCGTAGGCAGGACTCAAAATTCAATAAGTCAATGGCAGGCTAACTTTTTTTTTTTTTTTTTTTTAAGATTTATTTATCTGTTTGAAAGAGTTAGAGAGAGAGAGACACACCCACACACACACACACACAGATCTTCCTTCTGCTGGTTCACTCTCCAGATGACAGCAATGGCAAGACTGGGCCAGGCTGAATCCAGGAGCGAGGAGCTTCTTCCAGGTCTACAAAGTGGTAGCAGGGGTCCAAGCACTTGGGCCATCTTCCACTGCTTTTCCCAGGCCATTAGCAGAGAGCTGGATTGGAAGTGGAGCAGCCAAGATATGAAATGACACATATATGGTTTGCCTAATAAGACACAACGCAGGTCACACCCGGCTAACTTTTAAGTTTATAATTTTGTATCGGCTGTCTATGATGTTATAAATATCCAAATGGCCTTTGGCATTAAAAAAAAAAAGTTCTCTCACCACTTTCAAATGGCCCAATCACAATGTATTTTAATTTACCTATTTGTGTCTTCAACTTAAGCTCCATTTTTCAAAAGGCTAACCTCCCATAAGCTGCTCTACATCAATAATTCCTAACATTTTCTCAAGTTTACTGTTACACAATTTTATTCCAATTTGCTATTATAAAAGAATTCAAAGCATGTTTCTTAATTAGTAACCTTTCCACTACCTTAGACAATTTGTTTCCTGTAAGTTTCATTTAGAGTCTTTCACAACATTGTATCTCCTCAAGCTATATGAACATTGCCGCCATTCAATGTGTATTTGTGGATTAAATGAATGAATTGAATTATCTTCCTCTAAGCCTTTCTCTATCCTTGATATATAATTTAAAAGTTATTATTTGGGTCAGTGCTGTGGCGTAGTGGGTTAAGCCACAACCTTCAATGCTGACACCCTATATGGTCACTGGTATGTATAGGCTGTTCCATTTCCAATCCAACACTCTCCAACTGCCTGGGAACAGCAGTGCTTGGGCCCCTGCCACCCATTTGGAAGACTTGGAAGAAACTCCTGGCTCTTGGCTTTGACCTGGCCCAGCTGTGGCTGTTGCAGCCATCTGAGGAGTGAACCAGTGGATGAAGATTCTCTCTCTCTCTCTCTCTTTCTCTCCATTTCTCTCTGTAGCTCTGACTTTTAAATAAATAAATGAATCTTTAAAAATAAATAAATAAACAAATTGCCTGACTGGATAAAAGAGACTATTTCACATTCATGTGACACAAATTCTGAGGAAAAAAAATACACTTTGTGAAGGAATTCCCCCCCCCCCCCAATGTGTTCTCTTCTAAGTACTGGGTATGCTTTAATTATGTGCAAATGCTCATTCACAGTACAGCTAGTTAACATAATTTAATGGAAATTTTTCTCTGTTAAATTTATAATTTTCAAAACAGCAATCAAAATCTAATGTGATTGTCACATTACCATTTAGCAGAAAATAAAGTGTTTTTTTTTGTTGTTGTTGTTGCTATTGTTCCAGGATATTTTAAGACATGCAGTTTATGGAAGCAGCGGTCGAGTATGACTGTCATTACAGTTTATATTTTTTAGTAGTGATTTAAGATAGCAAATATCCCTTTGTGGAGAGCTGAGTAAATCTATAAAATACAAACATCAGGGGCTGTGGAGGAGGGTCAGATAACAGGTACCAACCTACAGTTAGGGTGAATAAGGTCATCACACCAGGATGACTAGTTTACAACAATTTATTATAATTTTATAAATATCCAGGAGTTTGGAGATGCCCGACACAAAGAAATCATAAATGTTTCAGGAGATGAAAATGCGAGTTGCCCTGATTTTATCATCACACACGGTAGATATGGATGAAATTATCATCCTTTACAACATACATATGTACACTTAATAAAATAATTTAGAATGAAAACAACAAAGATCGAGAACAAAAAAGCTGTCTCCACGCATTTGGACCGCGGAGCGGGAAGAGGCGAGGAGAGGGCGGAGCCCCGGGCGCGGAGGCGCGGAGGCGCGCCGGGCCGGGCGGGGCCCCGGGCTCCATCTCCGCGCAGCCGGGCTCCGGGTGGCTCGGCCTCGGCTCGCGCTCGGCCTCGGCTCGGTTCTGCTCGGCTGCTCCGGGCGGCTCGGCCTCGGCTCGCGCTCGGCCTCGGCTCGGTTCTGCTCGGCTGCTCCGGGCGGCTCGGCCTCGGCTCGCGCTCGGCCTCGGCTCGGTTCTGCTCGGCTGCTCCGGGCGGCTCGGCCTCGGCTCGCGCTCGGCTTCGGCTCGGTTCTGCTCGGCTGCTCCGGGAGGCCGCGGGAGGCGCACGCGCTCTGGGCTCCGGCTGCTCGCCAGGCCGCGCTCGGCCTCGTGTTTTCACTTCCTTCTCTTCAGAGCTGTATCCGGGTCGCTGCGTTCCCTATTGTCTCAGGCAGCCGGCCTGGGACTGTCAGTTTGAGGGGTCTTGCGGGACTTCTGGTGCAGGCTAATAAAGATTTTTCTTCATTTTTTTTTTCCTTCCAGTTTTAACGGAGTGGGGGGAAGTCAGCGGTCCCAGGCCGCCGGGTTGGCCGCGCTGCCAGGGCCGGGGGGTGCCTCTGGCCTGGGGGCGCCGTAGGAAGGGGCGGGAGCAGCCGGGGCCGGGCGAGGTCGGAGGGGCTGGGGGCCCTGGGAGCGCCGCGGTCGGGCCGCCGGTTTTCCCCGGGCGTCTCCCTGACCCGCCTCGGCGGCCCCCGTCCCCGCCTCGGCGCTACCCGGGCTCCCGCAGCCTCTCCCTAGGTTTCCTCCACACGACCACCTCACGGATTCCTTAGTAAGTGTATCCGAGGCCTGCGCGGGGAGAGAGCCCCGCTTCAGCCCTGGTGGCAGCCGGGGCCGGGGGTCGCGCGATGGGGCGGCAGGGTCCTGCGGAAGCTGCACCCTCTGTGGGCGCTCCCCGTCCACACTGCGCGGGAAAGGGCGCGCCGGCCCCGGGCTTTTTGCGTTGGCTTTCTGTTGACTCGGGGGACCCCTCCCCACCCCCACCCCGGGATGTGCAGGGAGAGGGGGGTGGGCTGCGATCTCGGCCGGCCCGCGCCCCCAACTCGGCGTCCCCAGCGCCCTCAGCATCTCGGGTCAGCGCTCGCTGCGGGTCGTGGTGAATGACGATGGCTGTTTCTCTCTTAACAGTGGATCGCAGCTCCAAGAGGAGGCAGGTGAAGCCTTTGGCAGCTTCTCTCCTAGAAGCTCTCGATTATGATAGTTCAGATGACAGTGATTTTAAAGTTGGAGATGCCTCAGGTAAATGTTTCATTCTCTTTCCCTTCCCCAGCTTCCTGGAGTTGGGCTTGCTTTTAGACATATATACACACATATATATGTATATATATTTAAAGAATCGGTTTTGTTCTAAATACCCGATTAAAGTGGAAGCACATAAATTTCATTTATTTTGTCCATTTGGTTTCCCCTAAGTTTCCGAAGATCCTATCACTAAGTCCTATCACTGCTTCTGTTTTTCATTAGTACTTACTCAGCGATAATCAGCAGGCAGGGAAGGACTTTTTGCTAAGATGCCACAGTAGTTTGTCTGTTCTACACCTTAAAATATGTTTATGCTTATTTTCATGGACAGAGGAAAAAATTAAGAGAGATCCCGAAGTGGAACGGTACCAAGAGAGTAATGTGGACCACGGATAGCCCCTAAGCCTGTTCTCTTCAGATCTCACCCTGTGAGAGGGGAGCTTTGCTTTTTGTCTGTTAACATTCTTACTAAGATAAAATTGGTCAAAAAGTTGTACTTTGAATTATCCTAGCTGCTGGACCTTGTGGTTGTCGGCCTTTCAGATTGAATCACTGAAGTATCTAAGCATGCACACTTGCTCATTTTAGTTAGCGTTTTAAAAACAATTTCTTAAAAAAAAACATTCACTTTGTACAAAGTTGAAATCAGATAAGTGTAGCTTTTTTATCTGTTAAGTGTACTTAATGTTCATGTTTTAGAAAGTTTTAATTGATACAATTATGTTTAAATTTTTTTGAGAGAAATAAAAAACATGAACCGTAGAAGTCATAATTCTGCATCTTTTGATCGAAACAACTGAAAAAATAGAATTGCCCTTTTTATTTTATCCCTTCAGTGGTTTCAAGATATGCCTTAGAGAGCTTGCTATCCTCAATTAACATCTCTTTCTCCTCTGGCGTTCCTGCATGTGTACTGCTTTTTTTTTTTTTTTTTTCTGCTAGAATTGGTAGGAAGGGATAAAATGGGTAATGTTGTATTACTGTTACTACTTTCGGTGGCATCAACAAGTAAAACTTGTATTGTGGTCCACTGAGAACTTTTTGTTTACATAGACTCATTTAATTTTTATAGTAACTAATTGAAGGAGATACTATTTTACAAGCCAACAGGGTACTTAGTTTAAAGAACTTGGGTAAGGGAATTGAGGCAGAAATGGATCCAATGGATTTGACTCCAGATTTAAGTCTTTTCACTGCTTCCTTCACAAGAGTGAATAGATAAACCGAAACTACTTGGGTATTGGGGTTACTGAGTTCACGTCCAGTAATCAAAAGTTGATACGTTTTTCTTGATTAACTGTTTTTTTTTTTTTTAAACTTTTGGTTCTCAGCTCTTTTTCCCCCATTAAGTTCAGAGATGTTTGGTACTTCCCAAAGAAGGGAAAGACAGGAAAGGGACAGAGGTGGAATTCACATCTGTCTTAGTTCTCTTGGTGAAGATCTTTGCAGATAATAATATTCTTGGCTAGAATGTAGTTTCAATTTGTCATAATTAAGGTTGTAAAGTGTGACAAAAACGGCGTGGGAAAAATTTTAAAGCTCATTTCTTCAAGCATTCCATAATGACTTCTCTGATGATAAATCCTGATGTGTTTTTCTTTTTTCTCTATTGAAATTAAGTCATTCATAGGTATCACGTATTTTTGCAAGGAATAAAACAAACTAATAACATAAACTACTTTCTCAAAGTAATTTATGGTATGAAGCAAAGTAGAGATTCCTGACCTTGTTAAATTCTAGTCAGAGTTGAAGGGAGCTGTCTACTATTTGTGGAAAGTAGTAAGATAAATTTTGTTAGATTTATATATCTCCCCTAAAAGCACTCAAAATACATTTTTTGTGCCCTCTTGTCCTATAATACCTAGTTAGCTACAATCATAGTTTACCTCCTTGGCCCTTGTGTGGCTTAAACTGTATTTTATTGAAAAAAGGAATTTAATATAAAATAATTTTGTTTAAGGTAATGAACAGTCAACAAAAATTGAACACTTTACACTCTTGGTTCAGGTGTCATGTTCCACCCCATAGCTGAGATGTTGGCTCACTTTATATTACCAGTGTTTACTGTTTGAATCCTTTCTTTTTTCTCCCTGAGATAGTTTAGTGAGACTCTTACAGGAAATAGGACATTAGACCAATCACTGGCTTTCAAACATGTTGAAATTATGGAGTCCCAACTGTTCTTAAAACTAGGAAGTTAAACTGGAGGTAGAGAAACAGCTAAACATTTGTCTGATCATATCTTCTCTCAAAACAACTTGAAGAAATGACCTCCTCAATAAACCATTGATTTTTTAGGACTTAATGTTAAAGGTTGGTGGGGCTGAGTTTTTGTTGAATGTATTCTGTGCACCAGTTTATTTTCCTCACCTTGAAATCTGAAATTCTTACTAACACATTTTGTATTTCTGTTTGACTTTAAATATAGAAAACACTAAAAGGTCATCAACACTCTTGCAGATGAACAGTTTTACTCGTGTGTTTCACAGATGATCACATAAGAAAAAAATCAACATTGCTGAAGGATAGCCTACCATAAAATTGACAAGTGATTATCATTAATAATTATCAGTTTTGAGTTTTATGGAATGTATGTAACTGAAAATAGCTTATCTTTTATTTTATCTCTACTGAAAGCAGAGCTGTTGCTCACTTTTGGTTGAAGGGAGTCAATAAATAAAGTTTAAAGTGATTAAGTATATAAGTATATAAATAAATGGAGTATGCATGTGTTAGAATTATGGTGATAATTATGAGAAAAGCCATATGCAGAAATGCTGTTTGGAATCACAATTTTTTGGGGGTTAGAACTATCAAACAGGTAATTTCATGGTTCAACCTAGTTAAAATCAGAAGATAAACCAGCCAGAAAAATCAGATGAGACTTTAGTATATTTTATACTTCATCTGATTTTGGATTAGTAGATTAAGATATATTCATTGAGTGACTATAGTTTAGTGCTTTGTCACATACTCTGTTAAACTCATAAATAAATAATAATATTATTAGAATAAGTAAAATAGTAGATAATACAAAAGATGATTTAAGATATGGAGGCTTGGAAATGCCATTTTTATTTATTGATGAAGGTTGAGTAAAATAATAGAAGAAATAAGCCTGGAAAAGTAGAGTTAGATCAAACTGAGACCTTATACAAGTGTATTTAGTAGGTGAAGATTTCTCAGTCTTGGCACTGTTGGCATTTTGTTTTGGATGGATCTTGTCTTGTATATTGTGGGATGTTTAGTGGCATGCTGTCCTTTAGTAAATGGCAGTAGTGTCTTGCCTACTTGCCCCAGCCCTCTTTGTGGCAACCATGTCTCCAGAGATTGTCAGATATCTTCTGGGGAAAGCAGTCCCCATTTGAGATTTACCCAGAAAGTGCAAGGGGATACAAGTAGAACCGGAGTCCAGTGGTAGAGGATCAGTTGTGTTGACTGAATGGCTTTTTTCATAAGCTATATAGAGTTAGTCAGTGATAGCCCCAAGATGATAGCTGAATAGCCAGTAAGCTAATGACTTGTCTATTTTATGTTGTGTATACTTATAATACTAATCCTTGTGTTAGATCAATAAACAGAATGATTAAAGTTGATGAATGTAATGAACTAAGGTTATTTAGGTTCCAGAGTCGACATAAAATTAATTTTACTGTTTAATATTTATCATGGGAAAAATTTAAGCATTGATTATAACAATATTGATAGTTGTTATTAGTTAAAACAATTTTATTTTGTTAATTAATATCATTAGGAGATTCTTGAAAGTTACTATTGTAATTCTGTAAGTGTGATGAAATTACTTAACTGTTAGTTGAAATAGCTGTTTCTGGGAGGGATTCTGATATATTATGTGCTTGAGAAAGGTTACCTTTTTTTATTTTTAAAGTTTTATTTATTTGAAAGGCAGAGTTACAGAGAGGCAGAGGCAGAGAGAGAGTGAGAGAGAGAGAGAGGTTCAATCTGCTGGTTCACCCACCAGATGGCTGCAATGGCCAGAGTTACGCTGGTCCGAAGCTAGAAACCAGGAGCCTCCTCTGGGTCTCCCACGTGGGTGGAGGGGCCCAAGGACTTGGGCCATCCTCTACTGCTATCCCAGGCCGTAGCAGAGAGCTGGATCGGAGGAAATGGAGCAGCTGAGACTGGAACTGGCGCCCGTATGGGATGCCGGCGCACCAGGCCAGGGCTTTAACCTGCTGCGCCACAGCTCCGGCACCCATAAAGGTCTTTTTTTTAATGTTAAAAATTTATTGTAGACTTGGAACTAATTCTGACCTTCTGCCTAAAATAGCTTGCATATCTCCTTCATTTGTCTCCAGTATATTATTTCTTTTTTATATAGGGTATAGGAATGATAGATTTGAAATGTGGCAGAACCATTCTTTGAATTTGTAGTAATAGGTATTTCTTGGCAGCATAGAAAATACAGAGAGCCAAGGGTCTTGTTTTTCTTATTGTTGTTACCCAGCTGTGTTTGTAGCTAAATACTGTTTATCTCCATCCCTTGAGTATATTTGTGCCAAAAAGAAATGAAAACTGATCAGATTAAGTTATTTTTCAGAGATAAAAGAAATATAAAGTTTGATATGTTCTTGATCCCTCCAGTTGGATAGGACTCATATGTTATATTTGGAATGTGAAAGATTGAACAAGCTACTAGGATTTTAATTTATTGAAAAATTTCACATTTGTTTAATAATACAATAATAAGTATAAAACATTTAAGCCTTTAAAATTGCTTTTTTTTTTTTTTTCCTTTGGACAGGCAGAGTGGACAGTGAGAGAGAGAGAGGAAGAGAGAAAGGTTTTCCTTTGCCATTGGTTCACCCTCCAATGGCTGCCGCAGCCGGCACGCTGCGGCCGGCGCACCGCGCTGATCCGAAGCCAGGAGCCAGGTACTTCTCCTGGTCTCCCATGGGGTGCAGGGCCCAAGGACTTGGGCCATCCTCCACTGCACTCCCTGGCCACAGCAGAGAGCTGGCCTGGAAGAGGGGCATCCGGGAAAGAATCCGGCGCCCCGACCGGGACTAGAACCCGGTGTGCTGGCGCCGCAAGGCAGAGGATTAGCTTAGTGAGCTGCGGCGCCAGCCTTAAAATTGCTTTTTATTCAGACATTATTCAAAGACAAGAACAGAATCAAAGAGAATCATTTTACCTTGACTTTCTTAAAAAATTTATTTAAGGTATACAAACTTCATGCATTTCATATATACAAACTTAGGAACACAGTAATTACTCCCTCCCACCACACTCCTCATTCTTCCCTTTTTTTTTTTTTTTTTATGATTTTTTAAATTTATTTGAAAGTCAGAGTTACAGGGAGAGGGAGAGACAGAGAGATCTTCCATCTGCTGATTCACTCCCCAGATGGCCACAACAGCTAGGACTGGGCCAGGCTGAAGCCAGGAGCCAGGAGTTTGTTCTGGGTTTCCCATGTGGGTGCAGGACCCCAAGCACATGGGCCATCCTCTGCTGCTTTCCCAGGCTATAGCAGAGAGCCAGATTGGAAATGGAGCAGCTGGGACTTGAAATGGCACCTATATGGGATGCCGGTACTGCAGGCTGCAGGTTTACTTGCTATTCCACAGCACCAGCACCCCCTCCATTCTTATTTTTTATAAAGATCAATTTTCCATTAACTTCATACTCATGAGATTAACCCTACACAAAGTAAAGTGTTCAACAGTGTATAAAAAAATTCTTCCTTGGCCGGCGCCGCGGCTCACTAAGGCTAATCCTCCGCCTTGTGGTGCCAGCACACCAGGTTCTAGTCCCGGTCGGGGTGCCGGATTCTGTCCTGGTTGCCCCTCTTCCAGGCCAGCTCTCTGCTGTGGCCAGGGAGTGTACTGGAGGATGGCCCAAGTCCTTGGGCCCTGCACCCCATGGGAGACCAGGATAAGTACCTAGCTCCTACCATCGGATCAGCGCGGTGCGTCGGCCACAGCGTGCTGGCCGCGGCGGCCATTGGAGGGTGAACCAACGGCAAAGGAAGACCTTTCTCTCTGTCTCGCTCTCTCACTGTCCACTCTGCCTGTCAAAAAAAAAAAAAAAAAAATTCTTCCTCAACGGTAGAGACAATGGCTGTTCAAAATCATTGCATCTTCAAGTGTCAATTTCACTCTTAAAGAATATCTTTTAGGTACTCTATTAGTTATCACAGGTTAGAAAGAATATGTTGAATTTGTCTTCTTGGGACTGGCTTATTTCACTAAATATAATGGTTTCTAGTTGCATCCATTTTGTTTTAAATAGCAGGATTTCTTTTTTTTTTTTTTTTTTACTGCTGTGTAGTATTCCACAGTATGTATACATACCATAATTTCTTTTTCCAGTCTTCAGTTGATGGACATTTGTGTTGATTCCATGTTTTAGCTATTGTGAATTCAGCGGCAATAAACTTGGGGGTACAGATCTCTTCTTCATATGCTGATTTCGTTTCATCTGTTACCTGGACTTTTAAGAATAATTAATTAATTGTCATTGGTAACAACAACCAAAACAAAATCACAAAAATCTGTGACAGTTTGCAGAATTTTCCAAGTAATAGCAAAGTTGGATTGGTGTTAAGTTTGTTCAAGTATCTATTCTTTGGCACCAGTTAATCTTACTTTTGAATCAGTAGATTTCTGTTGGTAAAAAGGCTTCTAGAAGATTGATCCTAAGGAAAAATACCCTTTATTATTTCCATCTTCCGGCTTTTGTCATTATGGCATTGCTTGTATGGTGTTTCAGTCTTCCTTAGTCCATGTACACAGGGATCCTCTGCTTCAAAGTGTTTAGTCAGCTCTGTTTATTGCTTCTCAGATCCTTGTTTTAAAGTGTGTGCGGATTATTATTATGTTTACCAGAGTGATTTTTTTGATAGGTTGTATTTTAATGTTTTTTGAGTATCTTAAAAATCATAAACTTTAAAATGAGTTGTAGAGTTCTTTGACTGAAGTTACCTTTTTTGAGTGATACTAGTTTCACACCTTTTTTAACATCCAAGAAACTAAAAAAATCTAAAAGTGTTTCCTCAGTTGGACACAAACTTATAGTAAAACTTGACTAATACCGGTAGGAGTTTGTAGTATTTATTTATCACGCTCTGTAAATATTCATACTTTTCACTGTAGGAACAATGTGTTTGGTTATAGGTTCAGTGCCATTTATCTTACTGGCGATGTTAATGTAATGTTTGCTGCATATGCCATGCTACCCTTCCAAAATTGGGAAAAAAAATCTGAATTTTGAAACACATTTGCCTCCAAATACTTTGAATGAGTCATTCTTGACCAGCATGATACTGCTCATGTGTCTTATGTGCTTGTTTAGATGAGAGTATTTTTTCAGAACAGAATAAGTAATTGTGAATATCTACATGATAATCTTGAGATTAATAATGATTTCACATGGTCAATCAACATCTGTTAAATGTTAATTAATTATTATTTGTTAATAGCTGTAATTTACAGGATACTTTTATTACCAGTTGTTTATATAGGACTTCTGAGGTATCTTAGATACTAATCACTGATCACACCTTCCTTCACTTTTATGCCTAATTAATTATGTATGTTAAATCTACTTGAATTAAAGGAAATTGAAATGGTATGGAAACACTGACTTTTCCCACCATTTTAACATTACTGTTTCTTGGTTATTGATGCTAAAAATCAGTATCTGTTGGTGTTTGTTGCTCAAGATTTGACTGTGACTGTTTTTTCCCCCATCTCTTCTTGCTTGCCCTTCTTTTTTCCCATGCCTATTCATCCTTCCCTTTTAGAGTTTTATTTATTTGATTGGGTGCATAGAGGATTAGAAAGTTAGTGAATAGTGTTTTTTTGAGAAGGAGTGAACTGTCTGAAGCAGCAATGGAAGGAACTTGGTGGGAAACTTACAGACCTGCAAAAACTGTTTAATATCCATAGCCCGTGTTTTCAGGATGGATTCCAGAATGGATTCAGTTTCCAACAGGATGGATTAATTTACTCAACAAGTTCTCCAATTTAAGGGCCTATGGTTTATTTCCTAGAATTAAAAAAAAAAAAATCCTATAATTTTTTTATTTTTTGACAGGCAGAGTTAGAGAGAGAGAGACAGAGAGTTATAGACAGAGAAAGGTCTTCCTTCCATTGGTTCACTCCCCTAATGGCCTCTACAGCCGGCGCTGCGCCAATCTGAAGCCAGGAGCCAGATGCTTCCTCCTGGTCTCCCATGCGGGTGCAGGGACCCAAGCACTTGGGACATCCTTCACTGCCCTCCCAGGCCACAGCAGAGAGCTAGGCTGGAAGAGGAACAACCCGGACAAGTACCCGGTGCCCAAATTGGGACTAGTACCCAGGGTGCTGACGCTGCAGGCAATTTCTAGAATTTTTAAAAATTTATTTGAGAGACAAATAGAAGAAGGGGAGAGCTCTCAATCCCTGGTTCACTGCCCAGTGTCCACAATGGCTAGGTACTCTATGGAATAAGGGCATCCTAACTGCTAGGACAAAGGCCTGCTCCTAGAATTTTTGAAAGCTTAGGTGAGTCTTCTTCTATTGATATTAACTATATCCTAGTGAGTAGGAAAATTGATAACTTGATTTATAGCCTGCATTCTAAGGTGTTGCTTTTGCCTCTCTTCATCTATGCATTTGATACTTATCAAATCTATTAGGAATGTGGTACAAGTTGGCTGTTATAAATATATATGCTCATTTTGCTTGATAAAAAGTAAAATGAAGGAAGCAAAGTTTTTGGGGAGCCAAATTTTATATTTATTTAAAGAGAGAGAGAGAGAGAGAGAGGGATATTTTCCATCTGTCAGTTCACTCCTCAAATCACCGCAGTGGTCTGAGACTGGGCCAGGCTGAAACCAGGAATATGAAACTCCATTGGTCTCCCATGTGGGTGGCAGGGGCCGATGTACTTGGACCATCTTCCGTGGCTTTCCCAAGTACATTAGCAAGGACCTGGATCGAAAGTGGAGCAGCTGTGACTTGAACTGGTGCTTACATAGTATGCTGTTGTTACAGGTGCAGCTTAACCTTTTGGGCCACAATTCTGGCCCCCTCTCCCTCCCTCCCTCCCTTCCTTCCTTCCTTCCTTCCTTCCTTCCTTCCTTCCTTCCTTCCTTTCTTTTTTTATATTTGTTTGAAAGACAGAGTTAGGGGAAAAGAACTACACACACACATATACATACACACACATACATACACTTTTGCTTTGGAAGTGACAATTTGTTTCCTTTTTTTTAAAAAAAGATTTTATTTATTCATTTGAGAGGTAGAGTTACAGAGAGTGAGAGGGAGAGACAGAGAGAAAGGTCTTCTATCCGCTGGTTCACTTCCCAAATGGCTGTAATGGCCTGAACGGTATTGATCCGAATCTAGGAGCCAGGAGTCTCTTCCGGGTCTCCCATGCTGGTGCAGGGGCCCAAGCATGTGGGCCATCTTCTACTGCTTTCCTAGGCCATAGCAGAGAGCTGGATTGGAAGAGGAGCAGCCAGGACTTGAATCAGTGCCCATATGGGATGCCAGCATTGTAGATGGAGGATTAACTTAACTGTGCCACAGCACTGGCCCATGACAATTTCAATACTTGTAATTCCATATAGTTTCTAAAGGAAGAAGAATTTTGTTTGTATTATATTATCTTTCAGTTAAAATCAAGTGCCCAATTTTTTTTAAAAGCACATTTACTTTTAGAAAAAAATAGCATTAGTGATTCCAAATATAGGTGAGCCATATAATACAAAATACTGCTATTCTTTTTAGAGCATATTTTAATTTAGGGTTGCATATATTCACCTTCATTAATGCTATATTAAAACCATTTTATCAGCTTCCTTATTTATTATTTAATCAGGTTGGGAATGTCTACCATTCTTTGACTTAAATTTGTTCATATTGTTTTGCAAGTTATTCACAAATTTTGGTGGTTTCATTTGTGTCAACGTCATGTGTGTGTGTGTGTATGTATATACATATGTGTGGTTTTTTTTTTCTCATATTTTCAACAGATTCTGAGGGGAGTGGTAATGGAAGTGAAGATCCTTCAAAGGACAGTGGAGAAGGTTCCTGTAGTGATTCTGAAGAAAATATTTTAGAGGAAGAACTGAATGAAGATACTAAAGTAAAGGAAGAACAACTTAAAAATTGTGCAGTTGAAGAAATACTGTCATCAGAAAAACAGTTAATCAAAATGGAAAAGAAAGAGGATGAAGAAACTGGAGAAAAACCTAGAAAGAAAAAGGAAAAAGAGAAAGAAAAAGAAAAGGAGAAAGAAAAGGAGAAAGAGAAAGAAAAGGAAAGAGAAAAGGAGAAAGAAAAACCAACAGTATCTGATAGTGTGGCTGCTTCTGCTGCTGCCGCCACCCCAGCCACAAGTCCTCCTGCTGTCAACACCTCCCCTTCTGCCCCCACTCCAACAACCACTACAGAGGAACAAGTCAATGAGCCAAAAAAGTGGAACCTTCGTCGAAACCGGCCTCTGTTGGATTTTGTGTCCATGGAAGAGCTGAATGACATGGATGACTATGACAGTGAAGATGATAATGACTGGCGACCTACTGTGGTGAAGAGAAAAGGGAGATCTGCATCTCAGAAAGAGGGAAGTGATGGAGACATTGAGGATGATGAAGATGAGGGAAGTGGGAGTGATGAGGATGAGAATGACGAAGGCAATGATGAAGATCATAGCAGCCCTGCTAGTGAAGGGGGTTGCAAGAAGAAGAAGAGTAAAGTTCTTAGCAGAAACAGTGCTGATGATGAGGAACTGACCAATGATAGCCTGACACTATCTCAAAGCAAGAGTAATGAGGTAGATCAACCCAATTTTTATGATATCTGTCTGTCTGGGGAAAAGGGAATTCTCTAACTCACTCTACTTGTTCTATTAAGTGCCTTCCTTGAAATTCTGTTTTATAAACAGCTGTGAGAGTGAATGAGCACCTTAAATGTAACCTTTATTCATTTGCTCTACAGACGTACTGAGTGTCACCGTTCTCAAGGAGCCTACAATCTCTGTCTTCAAGGAGCACTATTTAGAAAAATTTTATATCCATAGTCTTGGGAAATGGAAGAGTTTTCCAATCCCCTTTTATTACCTCACAACATTGTTCATAAAACTGCTGAATGGTGCTAAGTGGATTATAAAACAACTTAGTTATGTCCATATCCACATAAAAATGCACAGCTTTAGAATACTTTAGAGCAGGGCAACAAAAAACTTAATTATTTTCTCTAAGTTGTGGAGATTCATTTCAGGGTTAATTCCTTTACCAATTATAGCACCTATTATCTGCATAATCACCAAATTTTTTGCTTTATGTGTATGGGAGTAAATATGAATTTTGCATACGTATGTTTAGTGAATAAGGTCTCTCTACAAAGAAATGAAAAAAAGCAAGCACTTCCATCATAAAACAAATATTTCTCTCGTAAAACTACAGTAATGACTGAGTTCTTCCACTTGGAATTCTACTACTGAAAGTTAGGTTTATCCATTGGGCCCAGAGATGCAACATTCAAGATTCTTCAGTCAAACACATTTGTGTCTCTTTGTCTGTGTGTTTATGTATATGTTTCTCTGGAAAAGAAAGATTGAGTTGTTGTCTTACATGTAGATGTATCTGTTACATCACATGTGTAGCTATAATAATTAATTCTGTCATTTCTGTTAATGTGTTTGTAGTCACCAAATTACTTTTTTACCAGACCCTTTTATTTCATGTTATTGGAATAGGTTAAGTGGGTAGAAAATTTTTCTTCTTATATTTTGTTTGTTCTTTCACATTTTTCTGCTTACAAATTTTTCATAGCCGTGATTTTCTAGTTCATTAAATTTTGTGTAATATTTGGCAGTTTTCTTACTAAAATCATAGGTAGGGACTGAGAGGGATAATTTGCCAGTGAGGATGAAAAGTAGTTTATTTGGCTTATAATCTTCTAGGTTGCCCACTTATATATGGAGAGTGTTGCCTGCCCCTAATGCCATCCTAATTGTTTATGTAAGGAAAAATTATCATTTGGGATGAAATACAGTATTTTTAATGATACAACATAGGCTGTTCATATTATGCTATCTGAAGGAAACAGGTATGAAAAAATCCAGTTGCTCACTTTTAATTTAGGCAGCATTCAGCTTATATTATGGTGGTTAATACTCATTCTGTATGTCTACTAAGTAAGTTTACATTTGACAACATCACGTCCTTCAATTTTGTTAGGCCCATATTCACAAAGTAGTCTGGCTTATGATAGAGACAGTGTTTATCAGATTTATGCTAAGATGCGAGGGCCACCAGCATATGTTTAGAAATTTCACATGAAAAATGTATGTATTACGTGCTTGTTAATAACCTGTAGTTCATAATATATTGCTTAAGAGATAGTAACTTAACCTTTCTGATGCAGACTTTAATAAATAAAAGGACCTTATGTGGTTAGGTTAATAGTCCCAAAACATTCCAAGAATAAGATTCCAGAGTACTTTTTATGAAAGTGTCCATGTAGAAGAGCTTGTAGAAAGTTAATTTTCCTTTAGAATAACACATTCCTTTTAAAAGCTTGATAACTGAGTTTTCTCCCATGACTAATATTCATATCTTCTATATTTTTTGATGATGCTAGCTCTATTTAAATTACAAAAGTCAAATGAGATACTAAATATTAATTAAACTGATGAATTGAGATTATCACTTATATTTCTAAATTTCTAATTCATGTGATTGTGTAGAAGGTAACAAATGTTAATTTTTGTTGCTTGTGGCTAATGTTTTTGTCTTTTTCTTTCTGGTTATTTTAGGTAGTGGAAATTACTAAGCATTTATGAGATAGTTAATAAGTATATATTTGATTATATTTGAAATTTTATTTTTTTCTGCTCTTACTTAAGTTCTCGGATACCACTTTGAGATTCCCTGGAAATGTGGCTTTAAGAATACATTATAGAATTATATTTGGTTTATAAGCAGGCAGACATTTTTCTTGGTTACTGGCAAGTGCATTTGTAAGGAAATGATATTGATCATCATTTGTAGGTAAATTATGCCCTGAAGCTCAAAGTTTTAAGGTTTCTCAGATGTTTTTGGAGCAGGGCCCTTTTCATAACTATTGTTTTTAACTTTTTGGTTTCAGAACCCCTTATTCTTTAAAATTATTGAGGACCCCTATTGTAATATGAAATAAGATTATGTATGTAGATGTATTATTTTAAAAATAAAACATTTAAAAATAACTTAAAATTTTCAAAAGACAAGATGACACTGTCTCACTTCATGTAGCTTCTAGAAAAACTTCATCATAATCTCACAGGTATAAGAAAATGAAAAAAGGCTAATAGCATCCTAGTATCATTATGAGCATAGTTTTTGTCTTATGTTCCCTAGTACAGGGGAACTCAATGCACCTTGAGAATTATGGCTTTAGAATTGAACATTTGATAACCTGCATTTTCTGCAGATGGACACCTGTCTTTGTCAGTGGCTGCTGGCATTTTCTGAGTTTAGTGCAATCTGAGTAATCCCATAGGAATGTGGTTATGGGTCCTTTTACGTCTTTTATCCTGAATTTAGATTCACCAAGAATTTTTTTTTTCTTTTGAGGGAGGTTTTTTTGGGGGAGAGCTAGTTCAGAAAATAGGTTCCATTTTCCAGCCTTTGAAACTTGAGGTTTTGAATGAGAATTAACATATGACAGAAAATCATGTCAATAGAAATGGCAATTTGTTTTGTTATGTTTTGGAAAAAGAAGAAAAGATCTCCTCTCATAGAGAATATTTAGCATTGGAGATAATTTGGATTATTGTTTTTGAAATGTAATTTTCTATTCTTTGCTTAGTAGAAATTTTTGTAAAAGATTGATTGTTATGTTAAATGGATTAGATGGCTTGCCATTTTAAGAAATGGCAATTGCATGATTTTTGCTATTAAAATGTAAAACTTCCCAAAATGTGTATGTTCCTGTTCAAGGTAAAAGGCTTCAAAATAAAACAAATTGCTCTAAATCCTATAAAACAATCAGTTTTTATAAAAATTATATAAATATTACTGATACTCTTGAGAATGTAACTTTCTTTCAAAGCTTAGAGAAAGAATTATTGGTCAAAGCTTATGATATGCTTATTTTTTTTCTCATCTTCAGACCAATAGAATTCTTTTAATTGTGGTTTTGCATGAAGTGGGTTGGAATTTCCTTCTATCAACCACACATATAATTTAGATAAAACTTAGCTTGTTGCATATATCATTGATAATCATCTGTGTAGAATACACATATAAATAAATAGTAAACATATTTTAGAGCCTGTGGAGAATATTGAATAATGTTAACATTTTGGAGGTAAATTTTAAATCTCAGGGGAAAAAAATAAAAATCCACTGATTTATTACTATAGCATCCCATTTATTATAATTACATAAGTCTCCATTGAATTATTCTATGATATTTCCTAGGTACTCCACCAAAGATGAGGTTCAAAATTTAATAAATCTAAACCAGGCTAATTTTTTTTTTTGACAGGCAGAGTGGACAGTGAGAGAGAGAGACAGAGAGAAAGGTCTTCCTTTTACCGTTGGTTCACCCCCCAATGGCCGCTGCAGCCGGCGCACTGCGCTGATCCGAAGCCAGGAGCCAGGTGCTTCTCCTGGTCTCCCATGGAGTGCAGGACCCAAGCACTTGGGCCATCCTCCATTGCACTCCCTGGCCACAGCAGAGAGCTGGCCTGGAAGAGGGGCAACCGGGACAGAATCTGGCGCCCCGACCAGGACTAGAACCCGGTGTGCCGGCGTCGCAAGGCGGAGGATTAGCCTAGTGAGCTGCAGCGCCGGCCCAGGCTAATTTTTAAGTTGATAATTTTATGGGCCTACAACAAATTTTAGAAATATCTACATAGCCTTTGGCAGAAAAAACTTTTCCCCACCTCTGACATTTATTGGTTTTGTGAACAAAGTAGAAAAACAGGAAAATGGGGAGTTAGAGCTGCCTATAGAAATTTACTTGTTTCCTGAATGGCTAAATTTTTTTTTTCAGAGGTGATGAGTTGTTGCAGTTCCACCAGAGAAAGTTGGTAGAGTCCATAAACATGAGAAACCTCTTATGTATCAAACTGTGATTGTTTGCTAGGTTGTTTCTTAATCTACTTTTTAACCTAGATGTGATATTCTAGGGAAAACTATTCTTTTGATTTATCCTTTGGATGAATATTTAAAGTAGAGTGCTAATTGAGGCTTACAACTTTTCTGTTGGAGTTCAGAAGAGGATCCTCCAGTATAATAAACTGTCAGTTGTGTTTCTCTTTTTGAACCATCCACAGAGAGAGCAGGGAAAGGGAAAGGAGTGAATGTTTGAATGCCCAGTATGTGCAAAAAATATTCTTGCCATATATTCTGTTAATTCTCACAAGAGCCTCATTAGGCAGATATTTTTATGAGGAAGTTGCCAGATTGAAGTCAAACAACTAGCAAATGAACTGAGAATGAAACACAATAGTATTTGATTTTAAGTCAAATATGGTTACCTTTGAAGCTGTAAAAACTGGGCAGATTTTGTTTGCCTACTATATCAAAGTACTTTGAAACAGAAAAGTTTTCTTTTTTAGGGTGTTTTCACTTTTATTTGCTAGCCATTTGTTCACTCCAAACTGTTTTGTTTGGTTTTTCTAAGAAAGAGAAACAAAATTATAAAACTTCCAAGTACTGGAATTCTCAACAGAAATGATACAACCTTTTCGCTGATTTTCACATTCTCTTCTGATTTATTTTACAGATCAGCTGCAATTTTAGTTGTTATACACAAAATACATTGAAAGAATAATTTTGACAGTTGAGTGTTATTCAAATGTCATTTACAAATCATTATTGAAATGATGGCTCTAAATGTTACCTTTGAATATTGGTGAAGTTTATATATAAAAATATAAGAAAGAATAATATGGGCCGGCACCGCGGCTCACTAGGCTAATCCTCCGCCTAGCGGCGCCGGCACACCGGGTTCTAGTCCCGGTCGGGGCGCCGGATTCTGTCCTGGTTGCCCCTCTTCCAGGCCAGCTCTCTGCTGTGGCCAGGGAGTGCAGTGGAGGATGGCCCAGGTGCTTGGGCTCTGCACCCCATGGGAGACCAGGAAAAGCACCTGGCTCCTGGCTCCTGCCATCTCATCAGCGTGGTGCGCCGGTCGCAGCATGCCGGCCGCGGCGGCCATTGGAGGGTGAACCAACAGCAAAGGAAGACCTTTCTCTCTGTCTCTCTCTCTCACTGTCCACTCTGCCTGTCAAAAAAAAAAAAAAAAAAAAAAAAAAGAATAATATGAAGCCAAATATATTCAGTGAATATATGGTATGGAACTAATTTATTAGTTTTATTTCTGAGTGTAGTTAAGTTGGTAAATGAAAATATATAAACCAAAGTACCTTCTTTTACTATATGTAATGTTAAGGCTGCTCTATTAAATATGAGAAGATTAATTTTCCTGGCAAATTTTTAAAGCTTAAATACACAATACAGGAAGTTTTAATTAAACTGACTTTTTCTGTTTTTGGAATTTTATCTTTTAATATTTGTCTATTAATACATCTTTCTCTTTATAGCTTTTAGGTTTCCAGTATATGCTGTTATTTCTTGATATAAACTCAATAGAGCACTCTCACTCTTCTAGCATGTGGTCATCCTGAATTCTTTTTTAGGTTAGTTTCTGTACCTGTGTACACAGCTATACCTGTGCAGGCTTTCATGGATCTATCTTCCAGTAGTTGATAACCCCGGAACTTGTGAATTCACCAGCATTTAACAAAGTGCAGTTTAACTCTGCCTTTACATGCATACTTGCTTTTATGTTATCTTTAGTTGATTTCTTGTCTTGTATGTGTGTGTCTCGTCTTTCCTAGGTAGGATTATAAAGTTCCCCAAGTGTAGGAATCATGTCTTAAACTTTTTAAACCCATATATAATTACTTGTGGATTAATTTTTCCTTTCTCCTAGTTGAAAGGGCAAAGCTGACTTGCCAAGCAGATGAAGAATTGTTTGTATGCCTGCTTTCATTTCTTAAAGGTGAAAGAATATGGAATTTGCAGAGAAGTAAATTGAGTACTTCGAAGGGCTTTTGACAAAAAGTTGTACTTCTCAAATGTGGCAAATGTTGAGGCTACCAAAAGAACAGAGAATGTGACATAAATTTGCTATGTAAACATATTTTAAAGCAATTTAAAGCAGGAGCTTTATTTACTAAAACTATCTTTTAATTTAAGTGTGGTTTTCTGATATACTTTAATATTTTAATATTAGGACTCGCTGATTCTTGAGAAGAGTCAAAACTGGAGTTCACAAAAAATGGACCATATTCTGATTTGCTGTGTTTGTCTTGGAGACAATAGTGAGGATGCTGATGAAATAATTCAGTGTGACAATTGTGGCATTACAGTCCATGAAGGTAACTTCACTTTGTTTTGTCTTGGAATAAAAATGATTGATTGATACTATGTTCAAACAAGTAAAATCAATTCTTTTACATTGTACTATTCTGAGGATTTTCTACAATAATTCATGATCTTTCAATTGAAGGAATATCTTTGATGTGTGATGATATACTTTTATCTTATCCTAAAATGCATTCTAGTTAGAATTACTATTACATAGTCATCACAGTATTGTTTACAGGTCGTCCTTACAATACTTTTCTTCATGGAATTATTTTTAAAAAACATTTATTTATTTGAGAGGCAGAGTTACAGAGAAGCAGAGGCAGAGAGAGAGAGGTCTTTCATCCTCTGGTTTACTGCCCAGATGGTCACAACAGCCAGGGCTGGGCCAGGCAAAAGCCTGGAACTTTTTCCGGGTTTCCTATGTGGGTTGCAGGGACCCAAGCACATGGGCCATCTACATTACTTTCCTAGGTGCATTCACAGGGAGCTGGATTGGAAGTGGAGCAGCTGGGACGCAAACCAGTGTCCATATGAGATGCTGGTGTCACAGGCTTAACCCACTAGGCTACAATGCTGGCCTCTTCTTGGAATTATTTGTTTCTAGTTTTTCAATGAAAATTAGAAGTAGAAAAAAGTCTAGTATGATAGTGGAATAGAAAGTATTATTTAAAAGCTTGAACATTTTAAGTCTATTGAAAGGAGAACTTATAGAGATTGTCTTTTAAAAACCTGAAATAGGGGCCACTCTAATATATTGAAAGTATTCTTTTTTCCATTAATTTATGAGATTTGTTATATAGTTTTTATTTCTTTAAACTTAATTTTATTTGGCATAATTTCTGACTTACTGTAGTTAAAGAATAATACAAAGACTTTCCCATGTATCTTCACTCAGATTTCCCAAGTGGTAACATTTTGCTATATTTGTTTTATTTGCTCTGTCATATAACAATTTTCTCTCATATCTATGGGAATAAACTGAGGACAGACATAATGTTTCTTTCTAATTTTAAATACTTCAATGAGTATATATTTTTTTCAGTGAATATTAATAATAAAGGTGTTCTCTTAAACAACTGAATATTTAATCATAATCAGGAAGTCAGCATTGGTGGAATATTACATTACTAACCTACAGATTGTGTTCAGATTTTGTCAGTTATTCCATTAATGTCATTTCTAGCAAAATAAAATCAAGGATCCTGCGTTGCATTCAGTTGTCATGCGTGTTTGATTTTTAATCCAGAATATTTCCTGATTGTTTGTGTTTCATGCCATTGACATTTTGAAGAATATAAGCCAATTTTTCTTATTCTCCCTTTCTCCTTGTTTTCTCATGACTGGATTCAGGTTTATGCTTTTGGCAAGAGTGCCATAGAGCTTATTTTGTGTCTTCAGTGGTGCATTATATTAGGAAACATATAGTATTTATTTCTGAAATTTTAGTGATATTATTTTGATAACTTGGTTGAGAGGATAGCTCCCTTACTTTTCTGTGGTGAAGTTATTAGTTTTTTTATTCAGGCAATTTCTTCCTGTCAGGGCCACAGCTACCATAAACTAGAATTTCTGTGGCCTTGCTCTTATCAGCCTTTCCAGTATTACACCACTCCTTTCAAAATAGTTCTGGCAGTTTGCTGGATGTGGGAGACCTGTGGGCCCTGTTTTTCCTTAGGAAATCCTTTCACCTTTGCATGTAGCTGCCCACTTGCTGCTGAGGCTCACTGTGGGAATGTCTCCTGTTACTGTTATTCATTGCTTTGGTTTTTTTGTTTGTTTTTTTTTTTAGTAATATTTGTAGAGTGCATTCTATGAGCTTGCCAGTCTGTAAATTTCAGGCCTATGAAACAAATTTTTTATGGAGCTTAATGTCTAAGAAACAAGTAGTAAACACTTAAACCAATATGTGCCTATCAGGTGGTAGTCTGGATTGGAGAGAAAATTAAAGCAAGACAAGGGATATAGGGAATACTATAGTTGGGTTGAAGGTGGTTAGTACTTGTATTTATAAAAGATGATAAGGAAAGTCCTTCTGATAAGGGGATGTTTGAACAGTGACTAAAGGAATTAAAGGAGCAAGTATGTGACTATTTAGAGAAAGAACACTGTAGGCAAAGGGAGTAGGGAATAGTGATCTTTAAAAATCATGACAAGAGAACATACTTGAGGTGTTTATGTAATGGCACAGAGGTTAGTATGACTAGAACTGAGTGAATGAGTTGTTAGTGGTGGGAGTAAACTGGGTGAGGCCTTGCAGGTCATGGTCCTGATTTTAGATTTCACTGTGATAAATATAGGAAGACCCACCTGAATTCTGAGCAGAGGGTTAATAGGGTTGCTTTTTATTTTAGAAGGACCACTCTGATTGCTGAGTTGCTAGTAGACTAAAGTGGGTCTGTGGTGGCAATGTGGGAGACAGTCCAAGAGACCATTGCAGTGCCCCAAGAGACAAGTAGGCTTTGAGGTAGATATTAAAGTTTGGTTTTAAGCTTTGTAGAATTTAGGTAAGAGGTTTGGACTAGAGGTGTAAATTTTGGACTCATCAGCAAATGCTATGTAAGGCATAAAGTCTGAATGTCATATTTCTGGAGACAGTGTATGTTACAGAGCTGTCCTAAGACTTCAGAGGATATGAATATGACCAGTGAGAGAAGAGAACAATGAATGATGACCCAGAGGAAAATAATTCAAAAAGAGAAAATTGAATAACTGCCAAATAATGCTTTTAGAGAGAAATGAGTATGTATGTCATGCAGGAAATTATCCTAATTCAATGTAGGCTCCAAGTATACCACTGGCCACAGCTTTAGCTCTACAGTTAACCTGCTGAACAGGCATGGGTTTTATTTGTGTTTCTTAGCAGTGGTGCCAAAATAGGTATCTCTGATAGGTGACCAAATTAAGACCACGTATTAAATTCTTTATATATCATATATACTTAATTTTCATGTTTAGGGTCCATTTTATATATTTAGTGAGTAGATGCCTCAAGAAGATTAGATTTCTCTTGTTCCTTGTGTTACTTTTATCATGTTTAATGCACATATGTTTTATTTACTTTTTTCTTTTTATGTTTAATTTTATCTATACACAGCACACCAAAGTTTCATCTCATTTTGTATTTGCATGTTGGAATTGAAAATCTTTAAGTGGATCACAAAAAAGCATGTGATTGAGAATTTGTTGCTGAAGTTAAAAACATGAAGGTCGTTAGCAGTTTTTCTGAGAGTTGAAGTGAGAATTAAAGTAAAGGGGAAGAGGTGACTAAATGCAATTCCCATATTGAATTTTTATATAAAAATGAGCAGGGAGGTGGGAACTTAGCTAAAGAGTATATGAAATTTTTCCTCCTTATTTTAGATACTATATTTCTTGTCTATTGCTCTGTAGCAGATTATTCTCAAAGCAACAACTTAAAACAGTATTTATTACTTCATATCATTTCTGAGGGATAAGAGTCTGGGAGTGGTTAGCTAGATGTTTCTGGCCTATGATAACTCATGAAGTTACAAGTCAATGCCATCTATTCTGGGCAGCACTCATTTCAAGGCTTGACTGGGGATGGAGGATTTGCTTCCACACTCACTTACATAGTTGTTGATAGGCCTTCGTTTTTTGGTGCCTTCTAGGCAGATACCTCATTTCTTCAGCAAGTGGACCTCTCCATTTAAGCTGCCTAAATGTCCTCAAGACAGGGTAGCTGACTTCTGAGTTAGTAATTAAAGAGAAAGAAAGAGATGGAAGTGATTGTCTGAGAGCTACTATCTTTTGTGACCTAATTTTGGAAGTATGTATTATCATATCTTCTGTTTCCTGTTCATATAAACCCATTCCTTCACCTAACTAATCCTAGTTAGGTGAAGGAATGGACATTCTAGAAATGTCAGTAAGAAACACTTAGCCACTAAAAGTCACCTTGGATGTTCCAGCCACGTATGCAGAGATTGTGGGGCTTGTTCGTTTTGATGGATGTGATCCAAGTGGAAAGGGAGTGTTGATAACTGATGATGTCAGAAAGAAAGATGGATGAACACTAAGGCAAGAGAATCCAGTACCAAGTGGAGATAATGAATAGATGAAACTAGCCCTAATAACTGCTCTGAGAAAAGAGGGTATGTGGGTACAAATGTAGGTAGGTTGTTGGAGCACGTGGAATTTATGTTTTTAATTTTTCTTGTTTACTAAGTAAAATAGGAAGCAAGCAATTAGCAAGAGTGGGCATAAGAAAGAGTTGGAGATTTTGGGAAGAGCTGGTGAAAATAGTCACTTTAGGGGGCCGGCGCCGTGGATCACTTGGTTAATCCTCTGCCTGCGGCGCTGGCATCCCATATGGACACCGGGTTCTAGTCCCGGTTGCTCCTCTTCCAGTCCAGCTCTCTGCTGTGGCCTGGGAAGGCAGTGGAGGATGGCCCAAGTGCTTGGGCTCCTGCACCCGCATGGGAGACCAAGAGGAAGCACCTGGCTCCTGGCTTCGGATCGGCGTATCGCCGGCTGTGGTGGCCATTTGGAGAGTGAACCAACACAAGAAAGACCTTTCTCTCTGTCTCTCTCTCTCTCAGTGTCTGTAACTCTACCTATCAAATAAATTAAGAAGAAAAAAGAAAATAGTTACTTGGGAGTAGAAATAGACTTAGGCAAATATATACATAAAATAAATATAGGAAAATGACAGGTGAGTGTGATGCTCTGGCAACCTTCTCCCCACAGAGACACTGGTTTAAATATTTTTCATACACCAAGTTACCTTCACAAGGGCTATGGAAGCCGTGACACAGTGAAAAACACCAACAGCTGTCCTGTGTGTACCATGACTTAAGGCACCGACTAGAACTATAATAGCAGAAGTGTCTACAGTTTCAGAGAAGATAAACATTTTAGAATTGTTGGAAGGACAATCACAAACAAAACCAGATTACTGTAACATAAAATTCGAGATGAAAAGGAAAACCAACTGATGCCACAGATACACAGAAGTGATTATGGTGTGCAATTCTGTGCCAACAATTTT